CGTACCTCTATGAATTTCTCATGCTGACCCTCCTTATCTTGGACACATTGTTTATATTTACTGATCGTGCAAAGCCAAGTCGGGCTAGTTCTATCATAAAATATTGGATAGCCAATTAAACACACATTCGCGTCTAAAATGAATAGTTTTTTTCTAGTTTAATGTTTTGGTTTGCTTCCAAATTGAAGATAGCTCTAACTTCAACGTTAAAAAAACCTGAACGTAATGGTACCATAAATTTCTATTTCTGCCCTCAACAATGATCAATCCGCAGACCTAAATTCGTTTGAAGTTTACAGAAAGATGACTGACTTCTGTCTTCCACGTGAAACAATATAGTGAAACGTTGAATTTCGCAACTAATTTAGAGGAAACGAAGAGGAAAAATCGCTTCCTAGGAAAACGTACTTTTTTCAGACAACATGATTCCAACAGCCAAATAAACCAACCACAAAATAGAAAACCAGCCGCTTGTCTCGAATCATCTGGGAATCTTGCACGCGTTAGACCCGATCTGAATCCCTGAACATTCCTATTTAAGGGCTATTTTCCATTTTCCCGAAATGAGACCTTACTGAAAGGCAGGACTTACGTTATAGAGTAACATTTTATCGACCTGCGCTGAATTTGCACTCCGTGGATGGGGATCGTTCAATTTTACATTCAGGCACATATTACTTGGGAAAATGGCCACCGAATTTCCAATTTGGAATAATTATTGATGAAATCATTCTCTAGCTAGAAAGTGAAATCATGAAAGAGACAGATCGGGGAAGTTTTCTGTAAGATCACTTCTCTAGCGGATTCGAAAATAAGTCTACAGGGTAATATTTTTGTTGAGGAAACTCCTGAAACTTGCGGGTGGGATATCATGGAAGTGATTAACGATTTCAAGAAAAGCTTAACAATATTTTGAGACATGGTTGAAGGAACCAAAACAAAATATGACTGAGTATCGATATTCTCACCTCAAGAATTTGACACTCATGTGTAATTCAACAGTGCAAAATTTGTTTAGTTGTATTTGTCGGAATATCCATAAAGCCCCTGAAGTCTTTATACTTCCTCGAGTGTTTTCATAGTGACTAAATTCTAGTCAATTCGTGCTGTATTAAAAAATTGTTTTCACAGGACAGAGCACAAGCACTACAGGAAAATCCTTAAGGCGCTCTCATAGCGGTGCTTATTTGGATACTACTTTTCCCAGTCGTTGGATTGGCATCGAGGTTTTACAGAATAACCAGCCCGCTCGCCAGAATTGACACTTTTGGACTTTTTTATGGGGTTATTTGAAGCAAAAGGTGAACGAAACTGAGCCTACTTCAATATTGGATATACGGCAGAGAATAATAAATATTTGTAGAGATATTGACGTTACTGTGTTCGAAAATAATCGGCGTGAAATATCGGATAGGCTGTTCATATGTCAAGAAGTTCAAGGCAACCATTTCGAGCATCTTCTGAAGTGACCTCAAGCTTAATACCTCGTATTATGTAGTTAAATGTCAATGTATTCAGGCAATTATTTAAAGTTCCGCATTTTTGTAGTAGTTGAAAATATTGACATTATATTTTAGGGTTGTGAAGCATTTGTCAGGAGCNTACTCAAGCGCGTCAGATTAAGATATATATGGTTCATCTTAATGTTTTAGACGTGCTGTCTCATAATCTGACGATTATCTAGAGGGATTCGCTCAATCTGACAAAAACAATATTTTTTTATTTTTTTTTCAATTCATTGAACTTAATTAATTGAAAAGCTCGGGAAATAGCATGCAAATAAATAAGTGTATGTTTTTGAAGAAGAATACTTGTATTTATAAGAAAGTAATTTTTTAAAAATGCTAAAAAATATACATTTTTTATAATCAATTGATTAATTAATGAAGAAAAGAGAAATGAAACTTTCTATGTTGTTTACCACTTCTATTTGTAACTAACGTTACTACACTTTCTTCCTATAACTTATATATTGTATAAGTTTGAAAATGTCCTTCTTAGCACCAAGAAGGGGAGGTCGACACAATCTTAACTTCAATTTTATGTGCAGCAGCTTTAATAAAACCTGTGAACATTGCGATATTCATTTCGACTCACTGATAGACCTCATTAATCTAAAGGCTGATGACAAATTCGGAAAAGGTGCTTCTGGCAATTTTGAATAAAAAAAAACATAATATTTCAGTAAATTCAAAACTTAGTCGGACCTACATCCAACCTCCTGATGATTTGTTATGATTTTACTCTGAGATATTGCATAAACCAGGTATGAATCACGGTTTAGATTATCAGTTCCAATATTTGATCAATCAATGCGCTGAACTAGCGTCAGATGAAAAATTTTAGCACTGAATGGTTTCTCAGAACCATTGAATCATCCTGATTATGGAATGCGATAATTGAGTATTTCTTACGAATTATCTTTAGAAAAACAAGCTTTTCTACGAACTGAAGATTCATTATCATCCATAAATCTCGGTATAAATATCCATGATTGTACTTCTCATATATCATTTTAGATTAGATTACCAGCCTGTAATTTCCAATCATTCAACAAATAAAAGTGGCAACAAAGACGAGAATCATCAGTCAGATCAGTTTACAGATAAATCAGTTGTACCTGTTAGTGCACTTTTATAATATTACCCAGTTTTGCTGGCACAAAAGATAAATCATGACTCCGCACCATCATGGACCACCTCACCATGGGCCTCCACACCATGGACCACCTCACCATGGGCCTCCACACCATGGACAGATCTAGTGTTAGGAATCCCACGTTAAAAGGTAAGACCTCGTTGATCCTTAGCTCTCACAAGTTTCGACTTCTGAATGTTGTCGTTCGTAGGGGTACAATAACTGGTTAACGGAAAAACAGATTTTAAACAGATTTAAACGGAAATCAGGATACGAGTGCTCAATGTTTTCATTATTAAACAAAATCCTAGAATATGTGAATGGAGGAGAATGCCCAGCCGTGTTTCTTTGTGATTTAAGTAGAGCATTTGACTGCGTTAATCATAAAAAACTTATTTCAAAATTAGAAATGTATGGTATAAGAGGGGTTTCTCTGAGTTGGCTGACATCATTTCTGGAAAATAGATGACAATATGTGTCAGTTCAAGTTGAGAGAGTAAATGAAATCTATAGAGTCAATTCCGAATATCTGAATCTAAGTTCGGAAGTGCCACAGGGTTCAATAATGGGTCCTCTACTGTTTGTACTTTATGTAAATAACATTGAATCAGTAATTACCGAAGGTCATTATACCGCTTATGCAGAAGACTTTTCGCTAGTTTTATCTACACCAGATACAAAAGAATTACAAAACAATTGTGCCAGAATAGTAAGGCGAATATCAAATTATTTCAATAACAACGATTTACTTTTTAAAGCGGACAGAACAGATGTTATTCGTATTCACAACTGGCAAAACAGAGCGGAAAATATACATTTCATGGTGAACAATGTGACCCTAACAAATACTAATCACAATGTAAGATTCTTGGGTATCATTTTAGATGAGTTCCTCAATTGGAAAGGCCACTGTCAACAATTAATATCAAAACTTAATTCATTGAAGTTTCTCTTCATCAATTTACGAACAGTTTTAACAAAACGTCAGCTGCTGAAATATATTATGCTCAAGTAGAATCAAGACTTAGGTATGGTATGGAAGCAGGAAATGTTTTTGTAGCACAAAAGCGAATTCTGAGGTGCATAGCAAATTTTTCGAATAGAGAATCATGCAAGGCACTTTTTTATGAGTACGGTGTTTTAACTTTAACATCAGTTTATATTTTTGAACTGTGTATTTATTTATTTATTCATTTATTTATTCACCCTAACAGACCACATAGGTCTAATTACAAGGATGACCTTATTACATACAATATAATAGATCGATACAATATAATACACTAAAAATAAAAAGAAGTAAAAATTATAAATCAGTTACTGACGGGGTCGATTAATAAGTGTGATGATCCTAAAAAGACATTGCCACTAGCTGTATAATGATTTTTTTCCTTAAATTTGTTAGAGAATCTGTCCAATCTATATCAATTATTACATTCAGTTCATTTGCGAGACGCAACATACCTGTAAGTGGGGAACCTATGGAGTGCCCTATGTATGTGTTCAAAAATAAATCAAGATTTACAACAAATCAAAAACTTCACCAACATGATACTAGAACCAAGAACCATTTTGATTTGCAATTAGCTAGATTCAAAGTAACATCATGTGGACCAGAATACATAGTTCCAAAGATATATAACCACCTTCCAGATTATTTAAAGGCCTTGAATAGTCTTTCTCTGTTCAAAAAATCATTAAAAAAATGTTTATTACAAAAATATTTTTATGCTTTGCAGGAATTCTTTGAATAATGCATAGTCATCTTAGTTTTAGAGCTTGAGCCTGTCTTCCTCTTTTCTTTTCTTTTCAATTTGTATTGTATTGACACTTTCTACACAATTTTAGTGTCCTACTGGAAATAAAGAATCATTATTATTATTATTAATTTCCGTAACAAGTCCGGAAAATAAAGTTATTTTTTGTGCGAATAGACAAAATTCTGGAAGTCTGCGAGTAAAAAAAACTCTTTTTGGACGTGTGGCATACACCATTTTTTCGGCCACCGTGTAGAATTTCAAGTCAGTGAGACTCTATTCTTTGTAGAACAAAATTAAATATTGGAATTCCAACAGATAGGTCCTAACAGAATAATTTTTCGATTTCTTCTAATTCTGCGATTCTTAATTCGAGATTCACATAACGGTGGATACCAATACGAGTAGGCTGAATCGAACATTTTTAATAATCACGAATAATCTGTTATGTGGAGTATTGGATGGCCTTGAAAATAAATATTGCCTATATGTACAACAGCTGGTTTCTTCGACCAATTACAACAGAAGTTCTCTCAATATGTGTTTTGGAATCTGAAATTGTCACAAACTCTTGTCGTTTATTGGATCAATTATTATTTTTGTTAGTTCTTCTACTCGTTCGCCCTCCACTCGTCCAGGGACATAAATATCAGACCAGAGCCTGTGGACCCACAGTCGACGCTTGGTATTAGGCAGATAGAGATCCTTGCGGAGGCCAATGGCGAGACCTGGACGGTGGGCATATCGTGACCCCGGTGTCAAATCTCAAAACCCGTAAAGCGTGACACTACCCGAGGAGTAGGCTGATTGAGACCTCAGTGTCGTACCTTCCTGATAATGACTTCAAAGTCGAATTCGAAACGTCGAACAACAGAAAACATCAGACGCGGATAAACCCGGAATTCAGATTATCATTATTATTGTGTACTTTTCAACAAGTGAAAAAAAAGTTGTATTATCATTGTTGTTATTGGACAATCATAATTGTAGTTCAACTTTCTCGATTGTTTTCAGAGGATACCAAGGTGAAGATATTGAAATACAACTACCAGGCCTATTGACTGTTTACGACATAGACTGGCTGGCAGTTTGGTGTGTTCAATACAGGCATAACTTTGGACACGTCCACGTTCCAAAGGACCTAGATGTCCCGCCTGCTCTTGGCCAGACAAAGATATCTGTGAGTTCAAAGTTGAAGCATTTGTGAGTGAAGTATATGAAACTGTTTTTCGTTTTACAGCCTCCTTGGTGGTACAATCCAGTAAGTAGTCTTGGGAGGGGTATAGATTTTGTTGTCAACAAGGAAGATAAATTCATCCTGTGACAATCAGTGTACGGGGGCTCCACTTTCCGTAGAAATCCCTCTGCATTCCTGTTGGAGGTCTTAGAAAATTGAATTTAAATGATTAGTTATCTACTTCTAAATTTTCCAAACCCTGAAATGGCGTCTTTGTGTAGTTGATATCTAAAATAAAGACGAGTTAGATGCTGTCGAATTCACACTTGTATCTTGCTAGCACTTGAGACTCTCATCATTCGATAATAAAAACTGGACTAATATATGCATTATATGCATTCACCGCTTAAACGCGTTTTTTCTTTGGCCCGGGACTTTTTAGCCCATGTTTTGGAAGGTGGAGAAATACTTTTGATACAAGAGAAATGGGTAAAGAATTCTGAAATTTACCAGATAATTCAACAACATCTCGACAACCCCAGAAGCATTTTGTTTGTCAAACTGATCACATTTTTCAGACAAGCAGCACCCCAAGAACAACACCCCCCACCAACTGCCGGGAATTTTTAGATAAACGTTTGCAAGTGAGATGGAAACTGGAGGAAGACTATATTGACGTTATACTATCTGCAAAAATTAGAGAAGATCAGTACATTGCCTTTGGTTTATCTGGTTCTCCGGGAAAACCACAAATGGTAAGATATAACGCATGCTTCATTCACTATTTTACTATTTTTCAATTATTAGTACACTGTCCTGTTACTATGAATATCCTCAGTCATGGTAATAAATATTTTCGTATCGAAACATTTTTGGACCATGGTTTATAAAGCAATCCATCATAATTTCATAATTTTTTGATGCCGATTCGCTTTCTTGAGTATTCGCATATCATCAAGGATCATCGTGTATAATAAATTTAGGTAATTAGGACAGTGTCAATTATTGTTTCAGGCTTCTTGGTCTAGAGAGAACCCACATAATGTGAAATGTTATTGTCTAATCAACAAGTTCAAAAACATGAAAAATAGAGATAAATGTCCTAAGAATCAGTGATTCGGAATCACCTCTAGAAAAGTGTTTTTGAATGATTTTGGTGCAGGTAAAAAATTGCAAGTTTTAACAAAATAAGATAAAAAAATGGTATTTATTTATTCGTTAATAACTCAAAAAATATTAATATTTAAGTAATTTTGAAAAAAGCTCGTTGAAAAGGAGGAAATTTCCGATAAAAAAGTCCGACTCGCTAAACTTTATCTCCATTATTTATAATTTTAATTTGACGTTGAAAATAGGGTTCCGCGCGGCTGTTGAATTTGAAAAAAATCTAGTATTTTCTTAACACTTGAATGAATCGAGTCCCGTAGAAAAAAAATTTTNAAATTAAAATTATAAATAATGTAGATAGAGTTTCGGGAACCGGGACTTTTTTATCTCAAAATTCGTCCTCTTTAACGAGCTTTTTCCAAAATTGCTTAAATGTTAATATCTTCTGACTTATTAACGAAAAACTAAATACAATTTTTTTCATCTTATTTTGTTATTAATTATTGCAATTTTTTACCTACACCAAAATCCTTCAAAAAAACTTTTCTAGAGGTGATTCCGAATCGATTGAGCCATCGCTCATATTTTTAGGACCTTTATCTCTATTTTCATGTTTTTGAACTTGTTGATTAGACTATTATTCAAGCTGAATAGATAAATTTGAGTCCAATAAAATGTCTGCCTTGCAGAATCATCAAATGAATATAATTACAATACATCCGATATACAAATATCAATTTGGTCTTCTGTGACGCAACAACTTTTGTCTGGTTTCTACTACTTAGTAGTACTGCCTATTTATCAATTAGTAATCTCTATTAATTAGGGTCGATGATTTGTACCTATACATATATTGCATTATGAAGCAGTGTAAAGTACCTGAGGAAGCTACCCTTGAATTGAAACGCGTATTGCAAATGAATTCTATTTCAATGAACATTTGTGATTATCAACATGAATAGTAAACTCCTTCTCTAGGTTGGAGGAGACGTCATAGTCGCCTACTACGACTCCAATGCGGGCAGCTTCCACGCAGTCGACTACTACATGTCACACATGGCTCAGTGCGACGGAAAGCAGGGCGTTTGCCCTGATGAGCGCATTGGGGGTCGAAACGACGCGACTCTAATCTCCGGTTCGAGGGCGAACGGCATCACGTCCATCACGTTCAGAAGGCCTCTCAAGACGAATGAGGCTATCAACGATCAGCCTATCCCCCTGCAAGGGGAGGTTAGTGTCATCGCAGCTTTTGGGCCCCTCAATGCGCTTAAAGAGGCTAACGCCCATTCCATAACTGATAAGACTACTGAGGATTTCAGGATAGATTTCAGTAATTACGACGATCATGACTGTACAGTGAATTTGGAGGAGTTGTCGGATGAGGAGGGGCTAAAGCCGTGGCCGCCTGCTAGGATCATAGGTAAGATTTCATATACAGGGCTTTTCATGATGAGCGTTAATTAGCCGTTTCTATCAAACTATTCAGCGGATCAACCTGAAAATTCCACAGTATGCATAAATCAATATGACCTACACGCCTAAAATATTTCAGACGAAGCGGCGTTGTCACTTCTACTATAAAGTAGCGACTTCTTTGATTTTTCAAATGGAACACCCCGTATATAATATCATTATGATTCATTATCACTTTGTCAACAAATTCGTATACTATTTTCCTATACCTATCTATTACCGTTTAGAAGATATAAATTAATTTCAATATTTTTTTTTACCAAACATGAACTTTTATAAATGCTGNTTTACTGAGGATCCTGACTTGTTGATCAAAGATCCTCTGCAACAATGATGAAATCCTATATGAAAATGGTTTAACCATAGACATATCTCCACATTGCCAAACATCTCCAGGAAAAACAAAAAGTTCATTTGCATAAACAGTGATTCAATTATTTTGTTGAGATTTTGAGCAGCCCTACTCATGAATCTGAATTCATTCAATTTTTTCATGGCATGACTGTTTTTCAGGTGAAACTACCTTTAACGCCAGAATAGGCCCAACAGGTGGGAAACGAGGATACACTGTAATCACAGGCCTGCCTTCTTGGGGAATAGCCTGGTACCTAAACGATCTCTTGATTCCAGAAATCACACTGGAAAGAGGTCAGACGTACACTTTCATCGTGGAAGGGGGAGATGACAGTAGCAACCCAGCAAGGTAAGAATCAAACTCTGCCACTGAAGCTCATCCAGGAGTTATTCAAGAGAAACTAGCAGTCGATATTTCTATCTCACTTGTTAACTTTGATGGAAGGCTCTTCTCGTTTCAGGTATCATCCCTTCTACATAACAGACTCCAAAGAAGGCGGCTTTGGCCAGAAAACTAGGGAGGAGCAGAGCCAGCAGAAGGTTTTCGCTGGTGTGGACTACGACCAAGAAAGATATCCCTACCCTACGGCTGCTGGGAGGTACTGCGAATGGGCTCATAAGAGCATCGATAAATCTAGCGAGTCGGAAACCTTCACAGAATTCATGGAAACCCTAAGGCTGGAGTGCGATCAGGGAGAAGCGGCCTATTTCAATTGGACGGTGCCAATGGACGCGCCTGATTTACTGTATTATCAGGTTAGTGTCAGGGGTTAAGTGAAACTGAATTTCATTTAATGAATTTACTGTTTTATTTCGTATTATTTTGTGTTGTATTTGAGTCATATTCAACTTGTTTCATTATTGTTTCCTCTTGAGGACTTCTTGTTGCTTTTTTGTTGGTATTTCTAAACTCGAGTGTTTGCAGAACAGATGTCATGAGCTGCAGAAGCTGGAATCTCTTTCGTCCACCAACTCACTTCCTAGTGGTCCTCAACCTACTGCTTGGCACTTCAGCAAAATTAAAATATGAACTCTTGTGGTCGGAAGCCAGCCTCTAGTGCTTATACTCCATCATTTAGGATCATTTGTAAAACGTGATCCTACTCTATGTATGGTACGCATAGTGGTCCCCTGGAGACAAGTGCTGTATGTCTCGGACTGTTGTGTATATGCTCGAACCGAATTGTGAATGTGCATCCGTGAGGTTTTTATACTTACCGGAGCCGCTAAACAACTATTCTCAGAATTGATCTGATCTCATTAGTCTTTTTACAAATTATTTGCTGGACTCAAATGTCTTGCAAGGACAAGCCTCATTGAGTGAGGGCAATGACATCTCCCATATGATGGCGCCATCTAGTGAGAGAAACATAAATCAAATTCTACAGGATGTATGTACCCCACTCTATGGTAAAACCTACTGGAGATATCAAACATTCCTAAAAGATTATGAGCAGAAGTATGAAACTAAAGAATAACAAAGTGAGAATCAGACCAATAAACATATAAACATATATACGGAGATCACAGAGGTTAAATTGGCTGGGACACTAAGAACTTGTAGAAACTGACTCCCTAGTTGTATAGATTACCAAATGGAGATCAGAAACAGAAAGATCCAGAGGAAATCCAAAAAATACGTGAATTTTATTGATGGACATCTATTATTTAAAATGGAAACAAAGTCGTCAATATTCGATTTTTTGGTATCGAATATCGCAAAAATATCATCCACATACCTTAACCATATCCTAGGAAAATACTTCTACTTTTCTTTGATTTCCATTTCGAATCTGCTCATGAACAGGTCTGCCAGGTAGGGGGACAAGGGGTTTCATAAAAGCAACCTTTTTCAAAAACTTGTGATCAACGAGTCAGAAGATCTATGAGTCTGAATTTTTCGATATATTTTTTCATTCCGATTTCAATTCCAGAATTTTGTTGAATTCTATTTGATATCTATTGAATTTCAGTTTGGGAGAGTATTTCAATATGGTCATTCCGCTCTTGTTTATCAATGCTGCATTACATTGCAATTGCAATTCGTGTTTGTGAAAAAAAAGGAAGAAAGTGTTAATATTATCGAAGAATAATAGCGCCCATCTCTAATACTGCATATCTCTTGATGTCAGTAATGCAGTTTACTGTAAGAATGTCATGTCAATATGTCAATCACTAGCAACGTTGCTTTTTGGTGTAAGTTGTTGTAGTTTAGATTAAATAAAAGTCTTCACAACACATTTTTCTTGCCTATATTTCAGTATAATTAATAATAACTCTAACAGAAAGAAATCAACAACAATAAAAACTTTTTATAAAAATATGTAGAGCATACATGGCACCTAACCCAGATAATTTCACCATACATGTTCAGATATTTAATAATGAACCGATTGCTATCAAAGGTTTTTGAATTCCAGTGTTACACGCACAACAATCTCGGCTGGAAAATACACATCGTCGAACCTGGCTACATATCAGAGCACAACAGCGACCTCAATGGGGCCACAACAAACTACCCCGTGGCATCGGTCTTCACAGTCTGTCTCCTGTCACTACTGTTTCACGGAGAGCTTTACGATTTCTGACGATAGATTCGAACGGTCAATCGACTGTCATAAAATGAATACCTAACATTACACAACTACGGGGCTTTATTTCGAAGATGAAATTTGGGAGACCGACAAATGCAATATGGATGTAATTCCCTGTACGAGTTTCATATCAATTAGATGTTTCAATTGACACTTTCTATCAGGAATATTTTCGTGGTGGATATGAGTAGGCATGGAAAACAATTTTGTGTGGTTTTTTAGGGGTAGTGAGGTCATCACAGAGATAATCAGACGGCTGAATAATAATTCGGGATAAGCTCCGTTCTGGTGTGACGGTGTTGGTTTTTTTACAGTCAGACTAATGACTTCACTCAGATCAGATTCATATATTCAAAAGAAGTTCGTGATAGTAAAAATGTTAACCGAGGAATATACATTCTTCGACTTTAAAGTAAATATTCCAACTACATTCATTTCAAAATGAAGAAATAACATTCTGTCATTAAAATAATCAAAAATAATCCTGCATCTCAGTTGACTACTGGAAAACAAAATCAGTAGGTGTATTTTCCGTCAACAGAAGGTAATCGGATAGAAATCCTTATCACGTCCATATTAGATACTGCGGTTACGAAAGGAGTCTATACCAAGTTTAGAAATCTCGGCTTATGATAGTATATCATCCTGAATATCCATAAGATATTCACTATTGAATGCTTATAGGATGGCTTTTGGCGATGTTCATGAAATATAATTTGCGGATATCTCAGGAACATCTCAGATGGATATCTTATGAAAGTAAAAAAGTATGGATAACAGTCTGCCCGTCGCAATTTAGGAACGATGTAAATAATTTATGATATAATCCACAGTAACAGAAATTTATGTAAAATGAAAAAATTGAAGAGTTTTTTTCAAAGTAACGACGAAAAGAAGTTTGATATTTTTCATACTTGCTCCATTCCAATTATTCGTTTCCTCAAAAATGGATGTCACTTTGAAAAGATCTCTTTTTAGACACCCCAATGAATCAAAAACAAAGTGAATAAACTGAAAACAAATACCTGTGGAAAGGTATTGGAAAAGAAATCAATAAAAAACAGATAATTGCAAATTGTCACATTATATAATTGCTACGCTCTTTACTAACATAATTATCAAAGTAAATCTGAAGAGGTAAAAATATAATATGTGAAATTTTGGGTCCAGAATATGAATTCCTGCTTTCGAGTAACGAAGTACCTACATCATAACTTATTTCATCATTTGAAGTATATAGCCCGGCAAAGAACGATTAGTCTATTTTTGCTTATCAATGACAGAATGGTCAGACGGGCCTGAAAATTAAGATTCTCATGGCCAAAAGTGGTTTTCCTACCACCCAGAATCCTGAAAATAATGAAACACGCGAGACACAAAGTATACTTTCATAAATTTCAGGCGAAGAATCAGTCTTCAAAATCTATAAATGATGAATTTCATGTCTATTCATACCAAATAAGTAAACTTACTTCTCTTCAAAACACTAAACAACCTAGACCACTGAACTCCTATCATAATTTCAGTGGTTCAGGAAAATATCTAACAATGTTTAGAGATAAATTCTTTGAATCTATTAGAATAAGTATATAATATATTTAAGATAATTCTGTATGTCATACGTACAGTAACAGAGTGAATGATGGCTATATTCGAATGAATCAAGAAATCATTAGTCAAACATATCAAATTCATAAAACTATTTATTCTGTTGTGAAATATTTGATGCTGAGCTCACTCCCCTAGATACACCAACAAGCAGTTATCTGGGATTACAGTTGTGAAAGTAAAATACTGGATGCTTATACGAAAGTGGTAAAAAAGAGTCCTTGAAAGTTTTTGAGAAAAAGACCTTTACAATTTGCGAAAGAAAGAGAGGAAATCAATATTATTTGTTAGGTTTTTGAGAAAATGATTCATTTATCAGGAAGTAACACCCAAATTTTTCCATTCTAAAGGAAAATCCAAGTATCAAAAATGACTGTGACGTCACTACTATTGAAACTTAACATCCTTTCAAACTACGTTCAAAATGTATAAGAAACAAATACCATAAAAAAAGAATAAAAATAAAAAAAACATTTGACAATATCGCACGTACAGTCAGAACAAGAATACAGGAAGAAGAAGAAAATTGAAATATGCGATATGAAAAAGTTTCACAGAGTTGCCAAGTTCATGTCAAATGTTAGTGACGTCATGACCACCATTTTTACTTGATTGCGTAAAAACTACCGACAAAAAATTGTAAAATATTCAAAACGAGGTAGTTTTCACGTATGGGGGGAAGGTCCATTTATATTAGGCTCTTGAAATTTCCAGTGAAAACTATGCAATTTGAATTTCAGGAGGTGAAAGGTAATAACATTTTTGAAAATAATCTCATCTCTTCCTTGTAGACATCCAGTATTATACCACTTATATTTATGCGGTGAGTATATGTGAGGATAACGTGGGGAAAATGGGATTTATTTTGTAATGCGACAATAATATATCAATAATTAGTTAAAATGATTATGACGTGTATTTTATACAATTTATTCTAGAATAAGATGTTCAGTCGACAATAAATTAACCATCTGTGAACTATTTTTGGTGTATTTTTTTGCAAAACTGGACATCCCAATTTTTACCCTCTGAGAGGAACTTAAATAGTATTTATAAACCAAACAAAAATAGTTCATAGTTGACGTCGGATAAAACTTATTAGTTGTTAAAGGTTTGCGGGTGTATGATGAAGTTTCAAATGGTTTTCAATTGAATTAGAAATAGACCAACAGATTTTCATGAAGTAAAGTGGTTTGTCATGAAAAAGTTTCTCCTCATTTTAATTGCCATTAATTTTTATTGAGAGTATAAGAGTGTAACGCCAGGAATCATATTGATCTACTCGTATATACGTATATATTGATTATTTCATAAATTAATAGACACGGGGGTACATCATGATAGAAGAAATCTAGCTGGAACAAATCAAATATAACGATTAATAGAATATTCCATTGAAAAATGGATTTTGGATGGAATTTTCTTGCTTGGTGTTTTTCATATGAAGATTCACAAAGTGAGACACCCTGTAAACAGAGGTAATAATGAAATCTACAATCAAAGAGATAAACAACTTTTTAATCAGGTATAATTTATTCAAAATTCACTTAGAACACACAAAAAAATAAACAAATAGGACTTCTGTAAGGTAAAAAGTTATATAACTAACCTATATAAGATTACTGAAAGGATAAATTTACGGGAACAAAGATGGTCCAAATAAACTGTTTATTCACCGTGAAGCTATTACTAATAGCAGACAGATTTTTATTTCACAGCAGTGAACTTGGCGATTTGTGTGAAATAAACCCGGTTTTCTGTCAAGAAAGTTTAATAACAACTACCTGCATTATTGAAACAAAATGTATTTCATTTCTGGCTATGTATTAAACAGTTATTTTGGACGAAATACATTTTATATAATATATTATTTGCCACTACTGTCTGAAAATTCGTCCTGAATAATTACTATTATCGTAAATATACAGTTCATTGAAGACATATATACAGCTTTTCAATTGTAGGAAGACATTTCTAAATTTCGATATGATCGAGATCATATCATCATCATACATCAAACCACTTGAACCACCAAATTTTCTTTTCAAGCAAAAATTCATATAGGAATGGTTGATGAATCGATGCAAGTAAACCTTTCAACCGGTCAATTTATATCTACTTCACATTGTGTACTTCATGACAATAAACAATGACAAAACTACTATTTAATAAGAGTAGATATTATATACTAATGTAACTTGGAGTTGAGAATGACTGACTATTTTTTCTCTCTAAGTCTCCTACAACTCAATACAAACCTTCCTACAGATCAAGTATACTCGATTTTGTTTCATTTATTTTTGATGTGTTTAATGGTAATTACAAACATCTAATTTCAGCTACAATCAACTTCATCGTTTGTAGTTTGAGGACAATTGTTATTTTATGATTTGAAATCTTGTTATCGTAGATTTTTTGCTATACTTCAAAAGAATATGAAATAAATTGTGTTGTTACTACAATAAACTACAATCAATTTAGAACCTATTCCAAAACTTTTTAGCGCATTATTAATTGTATTCCGTAGTTTGAATACTATCAATAGTGCTTTCTCAGTTACTGATGAAACTAAAAAGATATGAACATTACTACATTTATTAGTATTGTGTGTAGGTAAAGTAGGCTAAAAAAAAATTGATTTTTTTCAAAGCGGGTTCCAGCGTGACGGAGCTTGGTTCAGGCAGTGAAAGATGAAAGACAGCCAACCCGCCTTTCCTGACTATATATTCTGTTTCATTTTTCTTCTAATTCTCATTCCTTCATGTGTTGTCTTTTTTATGTTTCTTCTATTGCTCTTTTAGGTCTAACAGGATATATGATTTTCGAGGTAAATTTGATGAAAAGAGAATAAAATCTTCAAGATTTTTCTGAAGATTTTACAGATTCTTACAACAGTTTCAATGCTTACGATTTATTGTTGTCGGACGATGCGAAAAATTCCATCATTGGTTATTTCTTAGAGTTTAATGGTTTTTCATCATCGTCTGAAGAAAGTTGAAAGGATTTTGAGCCCTTCTAGATATCTTGATTCGAAAAAAATCAAAGGGTTTCAAATCTGGTAATTCGGCGGTCAAAGGAAAGGGTCTACTCTTTCGAATAATTTGCCGTAATGAATAGCATTCAATGAATGTGATTTTTGATTTTACGTGAATTCCACTTCATTGCTCTGTAGCTTCCTTTCGAAACTATATTCCTTCGCTAGTAAATTAAAATAATTGTTGCGTACTAAAACCGAGATTCAAAAAACAAGTCATTCATTCTCAGCTTTGGGAAAAATGTGCACAAATCATTTAAGACAATAATTCGCATGTAAAAATGTAATAATAATACTATTCTATAAGTACCTTTGTCTTGCGATTGTAACTGGAGACAATAATATCTAAAGCGCATTATATATTTCATGACATCTATTAGTGTTTGTGAACTTTAAATTTAAAATGTTAAGGTGTTGTTAGTCAAACTGTTCAAGAATCATGGAAATTTTTTCTACAATTTCTGCGATATCATGAATATTCTCGTTGAAATTAAAAGGGTTATATTTTTAGTAGAGATTATTTTTTAGGAAAGAAGAGCTTCTGTATAATACACACCCAAAATCCTTTCTTTCCGAAAAGAATATTCTTATTTTACAAACTAAAGGGGAATATGAGAAAAAGCGCGAAAATGAGAAAAAAAGTGTGATATCAATTCAAGTTGAAGTTAGTTCAAAAAGTGACAGTAGATGTCAACGTAGTACGTTAGATTCACGAGTCAAATGTTGTAGGTTCGAACCCAACTTCGATCAGAATTTTTCTCGCGAAAAATTTCTTCAGTTATATGGCTGATCAAACTGCGAATTATCACGGCGCTTTTAGGTGGCTCGAGGAGTTATTAACATAACCTACTCAGAACACACAGAAGTGTACATGATATAAAAAATATAATTTTCCAATCTGCACCACTGAGATTACAATTTTTCAAGTGAAATACTATTAATTCAGTATCATTTCACTTCGTTTGTAGAAAATAATATTTTCAGAACATAATTAATAGTAATAACAGTTAAGGTTGAAATGTGGACAATGTGCAATAGTTGGTATGCCGCTCGATTGTAGATTTTACTTTTAACAGAATACATAGTTATATGTATACTTAATTTTGTTACAGAAATTGTTTTTAACCACACCTTGTATTTTTGTTATGTACTGAATGGTTATTGTTCGTTACCTAGAAAAAGTTTCCATGTTATGAAAGATAAATTATATTGTCATATTTTTATTATATAATTCTGAAAATCTCATATCAATGCTTTTGAATGTTGTTTTAGCATGTGTACTTTTGTTATACTTGAATATCATACTTAATACCTTCTTATAAAAAATGTTTTCATATTGAATATATTCGTTTTATTAAAATGTCTTTTCACTCCACCCTATGAAATCCATGAGAAATATCAAAACAAGTCTACTCTGGTATATTTTTTGCTAGCTAAAAAATATTTGAAAAATTGGAAAACACAATCCTTTGTGTTTGTGTGTAAGGACTACAGAAACTTATTATTCGAAATGATTTTAGAAAATGCATTTATTTCAGTGACCATCTGGTTTATATACTGAAAAGTTTTGTCTTTCGCTATCTTGTAATGAATGGATAAAGCTTAATTCACTAGCATTTCAATTTAGACATGCGAATTCGGCTTTTGAATTGAAGATGGCGCTTACGATGTCAAAAAAAGGGTGAGTTCTTAAATTTTACAGGAAAACATTATCCATGAAACGTTTCAACCAATAGAAACGCGCTAACGATTTGAATTGACCAATAAATGAATCCATCGGATCAATGGGTGGACTCACCGATTAATTTAGGAACTGGCCTAAAATGTTTCATGAAACTATGCCAGTGGTTTTCGGTACGAATTATAAAAAGATATTCATATGGTGATTATGATCATGAAAAGTGTATCAATATTTTAATTTAAGCGAGGTCGACGACATATCCCCTTAGGAAGTAGCCATCTATGGGATTAACGGAGAACAAGATTCATCTTCTGTGTTTCACTGCAATGCAACTGACCGCCTAGGGGGAGCCTCGTTTTTTCCTGTCGATCCCATAAAAGACGGTTGAATGATCACCTACCACCACTGATGACACCTAGGGTGGGTCGAAACAGCGGTGTCTAGTGCTGAAACATGAATGCGTTGTGTTTGGGCACTGATTCAAATCAAAGATGGATAACGACGTAAAACCTCAACAAAAGTTTTGTCTGATGGAATCAAAATGCATAGAAACCTTAATGTGTTAACCCATTTGCTCTTGTTTTTTCAAAAACTCTTGACGCGAGAAATGAGAGAATCGACATGAGTGAGAGTGACCCAATTTTGTACACATGTTGATAGATGGTGCAAGAATCGAAATTTATAGCGCGTATTTTGTTCAGTTCTTGTGACTTCAAATGTACTCAGCACGTTTGTGAATGGAATGCTGAAATTCATTGGATCTATATACTATTTCCTTATTAGGACTGACGTAGAGCGGGGGTTTTTGACAAAATATTTTACACATAGAAAAGGTTCATGTAATCTTATTCCAATAGATCAGAGCATATAACAACGTTGAATTTCTTTAGTTCAGACTTCTATTGTCTAATATGATATAAAATGATCTGAAATCCTAAGAAGAATCGATAAAATTCAAATGAATAGCTGAAAATAACAATTATATGTAGCAATAAAACCCTGAAATGAAATTTCAGTGAAATAAAATACAAGCAACAATCGAAAATTGAACAATAAAAAAGACATGAAAATCAAAAGATCTCAAGCCCAGTTACTCCACGACGTTTCGATTGTTAGTATCCTTAATCGTCTTCGGATGATGACAACGTTACCGCCGTAACGGTGCACTGTGTATTGAAAATTTAATCACTTTATTCTAATAATCAGTATTCTTTGACAGGATTTTTCACGGAACTGAAAATTGGGTCTGACCTATTGTGATTTGGAGTTCTGTGGTGTCGTTGACACTGGCTGAATTGTGTTGTCAAAACGTTCTTGTCCTGTCAATATTTTATTATGTTTATTTGTCACTGCCAAACTCAGCTTGTATTTATTTCTGAGTTCTGTCAATAGATTAATGGTACTTTGTTTGCATTTGACGCTGAAAGTTCCTGAATTCTTTAATTTGTACAAATAGTGAAAATTCATTTCCATCCCAATTAGGGCAATAATGAAGTGAGCAATCATCAACACCCAAACAATGACGCGATTCTCAACGCCCAAATTTTGAAAGTCGACTAAGCAATTGCTTGAAAGTCGAAACATAAACATTTCTTGGAAAACCTTACGGTTGTGAAATACTTACAAACAAGCGGAAAAGTGATTCTACTTGTATGATCTAAATACAAGTTAGTGTCTAAATGTGTGGATAGCACTGAAAAAAATACATTTTGAGTAAATACAAATATATTTTTGAAAAAGCCCAATCATGCCTAGTGCACACAGAGGTAGAGATTACAGGCGACAGCCGTCCAGTAACTTCACATATGTCAGCCCTTGTGTGAAGTACTTAATATTCATTCTAAACTTTGTATTTTGGGTAAGTGAATCCTTCAAACGTATTACTTTCTGTGGAATGTATTTTGAAGGGAATATAAAAGTCATAAATTATCTTTGTATATTCAGGGTTTCCCACACAAGCAATATGTATCTTACTTGAAAACATAGAAAGATGACCAAAAATATATACTTGATCAAAGGTTCTATTACAAAACATAAAGATGAAGCTACTAGTCGTCACTATCATAGAAAACCTTACTGCAACTTTTTTTCAAATGACACCATACCATACATTTTTATATGTACTAAATGATGCACTGTTTTATTCTAAATTTGGTAATATGCATTGTTATTACATGTCAATATAGCGATATGAAAAACCACAGAGAACAATTTATAACAGAAAGACATTCCCAAAGGCTACATATTCCACCCAAAATATCAAGAAATGAATTTATATAGTATAGTATAGTATAGTAAATCTTTGGCACATTTGAGTATTATACACTTCACCATATAATTCCATGAAAAGAAGTCTAGAGGGGTTACATCTGGTAAGTGTACGTACCATTGGATTTAACCTCTTCCACCAACCAATCGATTGTTTTTCATAAGTGGCTTCAAAACAGTGGGCTATTTGCATGTTTTGTTATTTTTGCTCAGATGTCAATGAAACCCTTCTGTTTATTATTACTGAAATACATGTTCAGAAGTTGTTGACATGACAGATTGACTGATATATTTGGTATTTTAAAGGTAACATAGAGACAACAAATCTGTCAAAATGTAAATGTAAATAAAAAATATTTTTGAAATAGTATAACAGAATTTCAGATTGGAAGTGACTACTACAGTGGCTTTATCTGTTTTGTAATGTTCCTTTTGATATAATTTACAATCATTTTCATGTGGGATTCCCTGCATATGTACGAAAAAGTAGTTGTTGTAGACAGGCTATTTTTACAAATATAAAACTTTTTTGAAAAATCCTTTTTTGTCCAATGTATTTTTCAGTTATTTGGAGGTCTGCTCATAGGAATAGGAATGTATGCCTTCGTGGACAAATGGCAGTTGACTGGCTGGGTAAAACTCGAGAACGTCTACGATGTTATCCTGAACATATCTTTAGTGATGGTCATAATGGGTGGTGTGGTCTTCATCGTGAGTTTCGCGGGATGTGTTGGAGCGCTCAGAGAAAACACTTGTTTGCTCAAATTTGTGAGTGTTAATGACGCCAGTCTTTGAAAAAAATTATAATACAATTTGCTTGCAGTACTCATTATGCCTGTTGATTTTCTTTCTATTGGAGATGGGAGTTGCGATAGTGGGATTTGTCTTTCCACACTCGATGCAGTCTGTTTTAGAAGAAAACTTCACAGACAAAATTATTCATACGTACAGAGATGATCCTGATTTACAGAATTTCATAGACTTTGCTCAACAAGAGGTGAATGTGTTTTACAATCATATTTTAAATTATTGAAAAATCAATAAGAAAATTACTTTCAATGTCTTTGAGAAAGAGTTTTAAACACTTTCAGATTCAGACTTCACAAGTTATTTGGTAGTACATGAACAATTAAAGATATAAAATGGCCGTAGAATCAAAACATTTTTAAATTCGTTAACACTTGTTCTTTTAGAAATGTCAGATTCAGTCCTCATGATTCTATTTGGAGTAATAAATCACTATTACTAAAGACCAACCTCTGAAACATTGTCCACAGCCTCAATTCAATTTGAGATTGGAGTCCTTTTTTATTCCTATTTTGAATTTATTTATGTTGATCAATGTTTTCATTTCATCAGATAATTTACTTAAAAAAATTCAATGCACATGCAGTGTGGGCGATTTTCAGTTACTGTAAGTCCGTGAACAGGGCAATTGCTATTTCTAGTTCTGGTTTCACATTTATGAGGACTGTAATTTACAATAAAAATCGATTCATTTTTAACGAGGGCCATTGAACATTCATGAATTTATATTGCGTAGATGGTCAATATATTGTCTATAATTGCGTCAGATCAATTGAAAACCTAATATTTGCTTTCATCTTTCAGTTTCATTGCTGTGGATTGAGTACAGAAGGCTACATGGATTGGTCCAAGAATGAATATTTCAATTGCTCTTCCCCAAGCGTAGAGCATTGCGGAGTACCGTTTTCTTGCTGTAAAAATTCAACAGATCTGAGTTCTCGGCTGGTGAATATAATGTGTGGATACGGAGTACAAACTCTCTCGGTAAGTGTTCAGAAGTAAATGATCTGAGGTTTCTCTAGAAGCTACATTTTATGAGAATTTATACTTGTAAAACATGTTTTGATCATAGTAATGATAGTAAAACTTTTATTTTCTTTAAAGGCAATTAATAATTACCTAAGATATGTCACAACTGTTAATGTAAAAAAAATACGAATAATAAAGAACATAACAAATAAAAATTTTCTATAAAAAAATTAAAACCGTTTGATAAATCATGATACATGATAAATATTAATGTTTACAGATTTTTCAACATCATTTTTTCCATATGACACTGAGTAATTTGGTCCAGATATGTTTTAGTATTTTTAATATTTCAATCATTTTGTTTCTCAAGGATTTCAAGCCTGTTGAAGTTTTTTTAGACAATGGAAATCTGAACCTGAAACATTGTCAATCATATTCAAACCAACCATTTTAGCATTTGTAATTGGCAGCATTATTAATATCAATAACGATTCCTCATTCCACTAAACGGGCCCTTTCAATTTTTGTCAACTCCTTGGCCGAACTAACATTCTTATTAGTACGAGATCTGTTTAAAAAAAAGGGTAATGTTCAACTTTCGCGGGCTGTGTAAAAAATATCAAAATTTTTGTAAATTATCCTCAAGTTTTCGAGATTTAGGAATACATTTTGTGAAAAGGGATTTTTGGGATGTTGAATCTTAATTTGAAAACTGTTTTGATCTATATTGAATTCTGTATACGATTGAAGAAAATTGACCCTGTTACCTTTTTCTAATACTTGTAAAAAGTGACCTAATGCATAACCAATGTCTTTATTGGTTGGTTTGAATCTTATTTTAACATGGTTGTTTTTTGTTGCAAAACGAAGTGGTTATTTTACTTGAATTGTCAATAAAATCTCTCATTATTTTTATTCTTATTAACTTCAGAACAATTTGAAGTTGCTCCACTAAAACTGGAACCCACTGTACAAAAAAAATTGTTGGTCGATTTTAAAATACAATCGTTGTGACTTCCTCAGGTTGCTGAAGCCAGTAAGAAAGTTTGGACGTCAGGGTGCATAGAAATCGTCCGCTCTTGGGCCGAAAGAAATCTCTATACGATTGCAGGGATAGCTCTAGGAGCCGCCTTGTCTCAGCTCTTCGTCATTTATCTCGCCAAGACCCTCGAAGGCCAAATAGATCTGCAAAAATCGAGGTGGGCCAGTTGAAATTTAGGGTATATTTGTAAATATGAGGTCCAACCGTTCTGAATATTTCCATGTTCGTGTACCGTCTATATGTATGTATGTCGTTAACTTTAGCTTTTAGATATCTACTGTTTTTAAATTGATGAATAAATATTTGTATTTGTATATCTGTTTGTTTGCTTTGGGCTTGTATTTTTGTAGGCAGGTTCAGGAGAATTTGTTGGGTTTTATGTATTGATACTATAACATGATATATTTTGGGTATTGAAATAAGCAGTTTTTAAATGTGCAGCAGAAATAGTTATTACTGTTACAAGGTCGATATGTAGCAAATAACGGGGGAGGTTGAATATTATAACAACCGAATCTGTCATTTGTGTATCGGCCGTGTGCTATCCTGCTGAAAGATTACATTTTGGTTCCGAGGAATGAACAAACCACGTACCTCGGAATTCTACAGAAAAATCCTAGCATCATGTCATGGAACAGCTCAACAATATTATAAGTAACTTCAGTTATTTGTGTTCGCGAGTTCGCTCAACAATGACTGTGGATGAAATTGGGGAACAAATTCGAATTTATTTAGTAATATTGGGAGAATCATGTGCAGCGAGTGTATTTCTTAACGGACGGAGACTGTTAACATTAACTTTTCAATTATCATCTGAATACTGTTGAATCAAAATAACAGTATGGGATTACGAAAAAAAATCAATGAATTGTCAATCCTTGTGTGAACTGAGAAGTCGATGTTACTTCTTTAAATCCATTACAATCTCACTATATCTACAAGCACATATTTCTTTCCAAACTTCTCTCACATTCTCTAAAAATTCAATTAATAACCTCAAAACATTTTTTAGGGTTATGCTATTGTTCCCTCTCATTTCTATGGAAGTTGCTTCTCATTCGAGCGCATTTGGCCAGGTTTCTCCTGTTCAAAGTGAACAGAAACTTCGTCCCGGAGGTAACTGTCTTATTCATGGCAATGCTGCCAACCTAAGGTTTCCCATTCACTTTTAACCAAAACTCTTCATTTTTTACTTGTCGTCGCCTCCTCGGGAGGCCTTTCGGATAATAATAAGACAAATACACTAACTGATGACGCTAGTCTTCTCATATTCCTCTCATTACAGATGAGACTATGGCGGGTGGAAACAGAAATCATGAGTGTCTTGTATTTGGGTTCTAGTTTTCAACTTGACCAATGAGATACTAAAGTGTTGATTTTCTAAACCCAGTAAAATATATTTTTTATTTCAGTTATTACTCAAGAATTCCTTTTTCCGATTAGCAACTTTTAATGGAATTTAGATAAGATTACCATGGAAAACAAATTAGGATTTGAATTGAAGGAAGAAAAAATATATAGGGCATGAAATGTACTATTACATACAATATACACAGTGTGAGCCTCTTAGAATGAGATGTTTATTTATTGTATATTCAGTAACCGATTTACAAAATATTAAGGACAAAAATAATTCATTAAATAACTTACAATTTCTACAAAAGTTTTGTATAGATCATACTTATAACTTGTGTTTTCTTGTTCAATATTTCATTATTTTGCATCTTTAGTTAATTCAGTCGATCCTTATTCATAAACATTTAATGTTTCTTGGGATAATAAAGACAATACAAAAAAATTACAAACGCTGTTTTGAATTTATTTCCAGTTAAAATTCACAGCAGAGGAGTTTTGTATGATTTTTACCATTTCGAAAATGGTGTAATGACTGAAACTAGTCAACAAATATAAAACTGTCGTGGAAAATAGACGAAAGTGTATTGTGAATCTTTACTTCAAGTATTTCTCTAGATGTTAAAACAGAGGTACCACAAAGCTCTATTTCGGGGCCACTTATTTCATATAAGATGCTCAATGAAAACTATGAGAAGTGTCTTAGAATACTATTTTCAATACTCTGTAAGACTATTGGTACATGAAATGTTTCTTTCCTGCTTGGGGCCTTGTTCACGGGATGGAGCTGTTACTAGTTTACAATCTTTCTCGTAGACGAAGGTTTCATACACGCAGTTGAGCCGCGTTGAAATTCATCGAGTCTCAGGCTCTTTGTGTGGGATCTTTCCTGCATTGATGAGACTACCTTGAAACAGGTCTGTAGGTGATCCACTCGAATAATTTTAGTATGGTCCAGCTGCTGAATGAACGAATAACATCTGCGAAACTAACCTCTGTTATATATCTTGCATAATTGGCTGTCGGATATAATTCAATGTCCAGCGTGGTATAAGCCGGAGAAGTAGTTGTTTTTAGGCAGGCATTTACCAGAACCTATCGTGTTGGTAGTTGGAAGAGATGAATATTTTGAGATTTTTATTTCTGTTTAAAATCTGTTTGTCCATTAACCAGCTGTCGCACCCCTACGAACAACAACCCTCAGAAGTCGAAACTTGTGCGAGCTAAGGATTAACTAGGTCTTACCTTTTAACATGTGATCCCTAACGCGGGAAATATTCATTTTCTAGTATGAAATTTAGTGATTTGAGTTTATATTTCACTTGGCCCACATATTTCTGTCATTAGTTCAAAGGTTGTTTTTGTGAGTTAACCACAATTTAATCTCGTGACACAAAAGCTTAAGAATCGGTTTGAAGCGTCTTAATTAGAACAATACTGAGTGAGGAGTGGGGATGACAAATCACCTTATGAATTGGTTTACAATTTTGTTCTTAGCTAATACATTTTTCGGCAGCAAATTGTTTGTAAAATTATTTATAGGTACAGTATAAATCCTTCCAAATTCATACTGAACATGAATCATTGATAATACTATTGTATTTTATACATGGATTCCAAAAATATTTGATTATCTTATACCAAGAGTCTAGGAATGGTGTTGATTCAGGAGTTTAGAGATAGAAAATCTGTGAAAATAGAAAATAAAAAAAAATACTGGTTAATAAAGCCTTATATTTTTGTGCACAACACTGGTTATGATATAAAAAGCTGAAAGGGGGTTGCCAGAACCGGTATGGGTCTTGAAATACTTCACACAAACCAAAATCCTGGAACTGGAATTCTGCATACTCTTTTACTGTTATAAAAATTGTTGCAAGCTTAACGAACAAATCCAAAAAACAACCCTGACTCCTTCATTCTTCCGATGGGGTTTCCTCCAACACACAAACGTCCAGAACGCAAAATGTAGCTCTGCACATTGGACAACTACACTTCGAAGAGAGCCACATATTCTGCTGCTCTTGGTCTTGGCGCAAAGCAAACCACTTGGCCAAGCAATCTGCGCACCACATAGGTTTACAAAAACAATTTGTGCAGTTGTTTGGTCCAGGAGTATCTTCGCAAAGCTTCTGGATTTTCACGTTGCTTCGAGATTGGAGACAACCTGCGCACTGGTCCACTTCCTGGAAAGAACGTAGATATTAGGTACGTCCCGCTAAAATACTGATTTATCTGCTAAAACTGAAAAAAAAGTGTGATTCGCAAATTCAGACCCTCTGAAGACGAATCTCTAGTGTCAACCGAGTATGTGAATGAAAAATTTCAAACTTCAGATGAAAGAATTGTTATTTGAGAGTGAACACATACGGAACAAACTAACACAAATACTGTTCCATGCCTTTTTTCATTAGTTCCTGTATGTGGAAGCAGTGTCCACGACAACGATCTTCCGCACGTTTTAAAAATCATTCGAGGATTAAACTAATTGAGCTCTAGGTTCTGCCTTACTCAGCATAATCCCCAGACCTCTCACCAACTGATTACCACTTCAATAACATTTTCACCGGTAGAACCTTCGCCAATCAGTCCCAGACAATAACGGCCGTCGTCGACTTCATCGAATCCCGAGTACGCAACTTTTATGACAGAATAATTCGACTTGTGTTATGTTGGCAAAAGTGCACTGATTCAAATGGCGCTTACTTTGATTAAATTGAATAAGTATTCACCAAGATATTACAGTTTAAAGTAGTCTTATAAAAAGGACAAAACGTGCGGAAAAACCTAATATTATGTTAGCTCATATTGAACCTCAGGTTTTCAATAAATTACAGACACACGAAAAGTAATCAACAAATGAATTTAGTCTCAAAACCATCAGCACTTATCTTATTTTTCAAAAATGTAGTGAAAACTTGATTTCGTTCATTTTGAAATATATATGAAATATACGATAGTGAATTCCAAGCTGTTAAATAAAAAGAAAGAAGAAAGAAAGAAACTTTATTGACCCCAAATTACAATTTCTGTTACATGTACCTCATCAATCTTATAGAAAGCTTGGGTGACAAGTGAATTTTTTACTTTGAACTTCAATTTTTTTATATGAAGGTATTTCCACTGACTAGGCAAAGTGTTATATATTTTTATGGTAAGAAACTCCGTTTGTTTGGCTGTGTTTTGATAATAATGCATCTTCAGTAGCCTGATGATGTCTTTGTGTTTTGTATCAATGATTGTGAATCCTGGAGCCACTATTATATTTATTTTCATACATACTTTTGTAAGGCCTTCAATTGAGTTTGTCGTGGAGTAGTGTTAAAATAATTCTACTTTGAAGAATTGCTATGTGGACCGAAGTGGGCACTGCTAAGGAAAAATAATACCAGAACATAAGAGAGTGTGCAAAACTGGGCTAAGCGGCAAGGAAGTATATGGGAGTTCTAAATGTTCAACTTTTCCTATCAAAGAGAGGTGGTCTTCTTGAGTGAAATAATTCACACAGCAGTGTTTAACTGTTCAATTCAATAACACAAAACTGAAATCATCTTCAATTTGAATCTTGCCATCATTATTTACCTGATTAGTTTGATACTGTGGATTCTCATTTATAGTATCTTTGAATACGTCTACAAATTGATCAACAACAGACTGATGGAACTTGACATCTGGCATTATGGTTATGGATCTGGCCACTCTATCTCTGAGGTCTTTGAAATCACCAGCGTTGATTCTTATTGAAAACGGTTCGACTCCCTGTCTCCCAGATTTCACCTCAATATTTAAATACTGCACTTCAATGGTAACACTGGGTGATATCCTGTAGGAGTCAGCTTCTTTCACGGCTAAGGAAGCATCGCTTTGATGTACTATGAACATGTTCAGAGGCGTGATTTTGATAATCCAATTCTCGGTGACAATAATTTTAACTATAGCGCTTGTTTGAATACTAGTTTTGTCTACCCTGGAAAGAAAACTTGAATGACTTCAATATTAATATACCGGAATATTCATATTCGAATATATGTGAGGGGATCTTGATAGTGGCAGAAGATATGAAGCCATTGAAGTATGACATAGCTGATTATTTTCAGGTAAATCAGGAAATGTTGTGAAACTGGTACTCAATGTTTTATTTATTAGTACACCTAAGTACGCAACTTTACTATAATTCACCATTCTAACTTTCACTGTATACAAGATCCCCATTCCCATAGGTAGATTCCAATGTGAATAAAGTGGAAACTAACCGTCTGAACTCCATATCTATGCTGCTAGCCACATTTTTCCAGTCATCAGAACTGTTACTGAATTTTGATATATTCAAGGCAATAGGATGGTTTTCGTACTCATTTCTAGTCCAATTCTTCAGTTCATATAAACAAACCATAGGAAGAACAATGCTGGATGTGTACAGTATCTTCCAGAGCACAGGAACTGAGGAGAAAATGGAAGATATCTGAAAAATAAGTTCTTCATCGACTGCACATGAGTTCAGGGTACCTTTATACCCCTTCCGTATATTCCAGTGTACATGACAGTATTATAAAACCAAGTGGTAGCAGAGAATAAACCAGGAGGTTCAAACATGATTTCCTGATGTGAAATGTCACAAATTTTTCGTGTTCACATCCTAGAACTGCCCCAAAAATGGATTGTAATGTCAAGCCTGCACTAACAAACTCTGTTGGGGGGTATACTATACAAATGCACAAAAGGAAATATACTATACAGGCAATGAAATCGGGCGACATATTTACATATTGGGCTACTAAAATTCTTAAGACTTAATTATATGAAAATAAATCACAAAGCATTTTTTATCATTTCATTGAAAACAAAATTCGATGACAGCCAAAATGACCTTGGCCTAGTGTTTGAAGTTATTTTCACTAGCGTCTGTAGACAGCAATTGCATGGCGTGTTTACTTTGTCAATTAGCACTTGACACATAACATTTATAATATTTTTATTAAGAAATATATTGCCAATATACAAATCATCGACGTATTGAAATAGCATTATATTGTGAGATTTTTACTGGATACCGCAACACGTGTTTTGTTATATAATAGCTTTCCCATGCGTTTTTATCTTTGGATTCGCGTAAACACGCTTGAGAAAACAATTACATCACAAATCATCAATATTATCTGAAGATATGTGGAATATTTCAGATCATAAGAATATTCTCTAAGATGGATTATTCTGTGACTGTTATGATACCCGACCTCTAAACCTATTTAAAATGAAAACTGTAACTAGTTGATGGCTTGGAATCTCTGTTGTTAACAAGAGGGCATGTTCATAAATTCTTCAGAACAATTTCGAGGGATCGCTTTAACCAATAGGAATGAGATTCGAAAAGACCAGTTGATGGATTCCACCAATGAAATCAAAAACCATAGTGTCCACAGTGCTCTGTGATGTGAGGAATGCGGATTTGTCGATGTGCCTACAGTTTACTGTAAAAGCTTTTGCTGTCTAAGTCTTCCATTTTTGGCCACTTGATATTGACTAGATATTTGATGACTTGATTGATAAATAACTAACATATACATATCATCGGTTGACTATGAATGCACATTGAATATTACAGAAAAAGATTGTTTTTTGTTTGTCGCTTCTGCAGTTTGTCAGCCATTTGCTTTTATTTCTGAGACATAAATGGAGAGTTCCGTGATGGCTCTCACATGTCCGCTATAAAAACCAAAAAACTACGGAAACGGAATGAATGGGATTTCAAAATGGAAATTGAGAAAGTGAGATTGAAAAACAATTATAGTTAACCTAAAATCTGTACAATATTTTCTACTGTTCCAGTAGTTTTCAGCGTTGCTCAAATCTTTTCACTGAAACTTCACTTCCTGGACATTCATAAGGGACATTTTTCAGTGAGTGCTCTTGAGAAAATGAAATAAGTGACAGAAGCATTGCTGAAGAAATAGAAGTGGGAATTTCACATTTTTCATTGTGACGTTAATTACCACTGCATTTAAAATCGAAATTATATTATCTTCTGATTTTTACTTCTGATTTTTGTAAAACATTCGATAATTTATATTCACTTCTACAAGTTTGAAGGTTAATTTTACTTCACAATGAAGAGATTCTTTCATAAGATCATATGTCTACCACATTCATTTTCGAAATTCCCAAAAAAGGGACAACTGATTTCGTATGTGACGATCAGAGTTTAACTGTTACTATCAAAAATTTCAAATGTGTTTCTCAGATTGAGAAAAATCAGTTAAAATATTCACTTCTGATTATTTTTGGACTCGTAACTAACGTGTTTGTATATGCAACGGCGGTTAATTCATCAATGTGTGACAACAGTCTTTTCAACTTTGCTTTTACCTTCATACATATTGAATGAGAGATGTGAAATAAAACAATAATATCCATACACATTTTTATTGTTGAACTTCCGGTACATAATACATATACATTTTATTCATTACATATTTGTGAAGTTTTATTTATATTTTTTTTTTACATAATTTCACATGTAAGGCGAATAACAAACGATTTATAAATGTGAACAATTTTGAGTTGGGACCATATTACAAGATGTTTATATATGTATGTTTCGATATAAATATTATACCTTTTTACGAAATACAGATATTCTCACGATTATCATGAACGTTCCTCTTTACAATAAAGAATATTTTTTCGGACTAATGAGCGATGAGAAGACATTCTATGTTTCGTGACAGTTTTCAACGAAGGGCTCATGCAAATTGAATTCTGCCACGTTGTCATACTACTGATAATCGTTGAATTTACGCCAAAAAATGACCTGAAGGACTTTCATCAAATTTTGTTCGTAAACTCAACAATATTTCACTAGTTGACTTCCATTTAACTTTGACGATACATTCAACAAAAATTCAGCATAAAAATGTTTTTATTCAAGCAATAAAAAATAGGAAGCTCACTATTTATTGACATATTGAACTCCACAAAAAATAAGTTCAACAAACCGACTTTAAAATTGGTACAAATTCTGATTAGATATTTAGGTACCTTAAAGGTACTAGGTACGTTAAAGTTCTTATCAAATCAGTGTCACGAAAACATACTATTAATCGTTTATTATGCAAACATCAAATGTCATTTGCGATATGGTGTTCTTGACTGGAGTACATGTACCTCTTGGTCACGTGTTTTCGCTGTGCAAAAATTTGCAGGACTAAATTGGAGGCAGTCATGTAGAGAGGCTTTTAAGCGACTAAAGATTTTAACTTTGACAGGCTTGTATCTGTATGAACTGTGTATATATGTATACAAACATAAAGATACATTTTTCAATAGAACAGATCATCAATATGACACTAGATCCAGAAATCTTCTTGTGCCTGCTGTGCACAGAACTAACCTATACAAAAAAAATCATTTATATTTGGGATGCAAAGTTTTTAATCACCTTGATGTCTCTATCCAAACATCTCCAAATATTAATATCTTTGATTCCAGACTTGAAGCATTTCTTATTGAGAAGAACTGTTACAGTATTAATGAATTTGTGACATAATACTATATTTTATGAAGATGTTTTCTTGTTGACAATTCAAATGTTATATTTGTGCTGTTGTTTTTCCTCACAGCGTTGAGTGAATGATCATTAGGTTCAAAAATCGTGTACCCTGAGTAGATGAGGTCAACCAAGAATGACGGCTTTCTGCATTCGACCAGACAAGATTTATGTTATTTTTTAAAGGCAAGTCGGTTTGATTATGGTGTGAGTCAGTAGGAAAGGCATTGTGAATGGTTTCAACAGCGGAAATCTGTATCAATTTCAGAATACTGGGAGAGCTGCATTATATCTGATATAACAAGGATTAAAACTGTGGTTGGGCTTCTCATTACGCTTCTCAGTTACGAAGGAAATATATCAGACGATGGTTGTGAATATTCCAGTGAACATTTGAGTTGAATTTCAGTGTATTCAAATTTGAAAAATGGAGAATATTCAAATAAAATTATCTACAGACAATAAAATCGTTTGCAAAGCTGAAAAAGAAAATTTTACTGAAAATGAATTAAGTAACTAGATATACTTTTAGGAAACAATGTTTTATAATTGGAACAAAGTTTAAACGTGTGAGAGCCTTACAAGAAATAAATAAATGTATCGTCAAACCACTTAGCTCAGTCAAGCTTGGAAATATTAACATTTTCACAACATATTCAACGTTTAACTTACCCTGTAGAATGATACAATGTACACTTCAACAATTATATAAATATGTTCATGTGAAAAGTCTACAGAAATATTCCATTTGGAATCTATGATGAAGTCCATCATATTTTTGCTATCTTTCAATTTTATCAATCGGTTTCTCAGCAACATGTCCATATATACTCCAATGATGGAATAGATTGAGGGTTATGACAAATTTTTCTAATTGCTAAAAAATGTTTCACATGCAAACATCTGGCTTTTGTTCCTAACCCAGGTCTAATATTTCTATTGACTTTTCGATGAGACTTTCCTTGCAGTACAAGTTTGTAAAATATCAGTTAAGTATAACAAAAATGAGTTATATGCATATTTACATGAAAGACACAATTGATGAAATAGTCACTATAATCACATGAATATGCCACAATATATACTTATAGGTAACGTTGGGCAAAAATATTATTTTAAATGTTCAGATTTATCTGCCTCAGTCATTTTGTTTCAGAAAATTATACAATTTAGTCAAAATCTCTTTTCTGGAGGCTGTTTTCATGACTACTTTTTTTTTTAAGACAAAATACAAAACTTGTTGATAAGTATGCCATTTGGCCTAAAAAATGCTCCATCAACTATTCAAAGAGTAAATAAGTATCAAACTGGTATTATCATATGACATTTGGTTCAAACAAAATGCTTCGCCAACTGTTCATGAACTTTGGAAGTTTTATATACATTTGTGAGATCGAAGTATTGTTATCACCTCTCTGACTCAACTTGATTTTGGAATAGACTCTTTTCTCAGATTGCACCATCAATAAAATGTATTATATTTTCATTTCAATTGAAATCACGCTGAAGTTTTTCCTTTTCTAAAGAAAGTTTCATCAACTTTGGCTTCTTCAACACTTCTCGTAGTTGGAGTTCACACCTGAATAGGTTTCCTTTTCAAACTTGAAGGTCTGCTGTCAGACTTCTGCTATGATGCTAGTTCTTTTATTTTTGGTGATGGCGACATTGTCGCCGGACCATTGCCGATATTGTGGTTGTTGTTAATTTTAGAAGTTAGATCCGGTGTAATGTTGTAGGGCGCATCAGAATTTGTCTGGGTGCTACTGTCCTTTGTGCAGGGTTGTTTGTAGAATATTTCTGGAAAAAATAAACAATTATTCCGTGGCAAACAACAATAATTAATTCATCATACCATCTTCTACTTTTTCTATAGGAGAAACATGTTTCTGCACGTTCTGCTTTTGATCGCAAGTAGCTGCTGTAACCATCACAGCAGCCATCATACTTCCAGACCCGGTGTTTGTTGAGCTTTTGTTGATGGCGCTGTATCTCATCGGCATCATGCTTTGTCTAATATTTCGCTCTGGACGTATCAGAATGATGTATAACTAAAAACAACAAAAACAACATAAAATATATTTTTTCAGTCTATTGAAAACACTCTTTCTACACTAAAACAACAGTACCCACTCCCGACGCGCGTTTCGCAAACCAAGTCAACATCATCAGGCGATAATTAAGGAATGTGATGATTGAAGTCATCTCCAGATTATGCTAACTCTGTTAGCAAAACGCGCATCATCTGTTCTGGTGTGGGAATCGTGTTTTTAATATATCCATTTTATGCCAGAGATTTCACTTCTACATATCAAATTATTCAATGGAGAAAAATGCTATTTTCAGTATTACCTTGGGGGAAAACAAACAAGCCACTGTTACGCTTGCAGATAGGCTGATAGTGACAGACATGCTTGTAATTCGCAATGCAACGTGATTTGCAGTTCCGAAGTAGAGCGGGACGAAAGCTAGCCAGATTACGCAGGTCGTATACATGGTGAAACCTGAAAGATAAGTAGTTTTATATAGGGTTTTTCATTAAGCATTCCTATATTTAAATTTGATAACATCGAAATTTTTTATTCGTTTGAAAGAACTATTGATGCCATTATGAGTGGAGTATAACATCTTCCAAATATCCGCCACGGCTTCCATGACTTTGGCGCATGAATCAGGATTAATTTGACCGATGGCATGGATCATGTTGACTTTGAGGACAGCTGTGGTTTGTGGCTTATTTGCGTACACCTGCGAATTAAACTACACAAGAAAAAGTCCAACGGGGTCAAACCGCACGATCTCGTTGGCCAGTTCACATCACCTCCACGTGAGATAACAGTAATATAGCTGTAAGATTTCCAACTCAAAATCCCATGGCTCTTCACTCTAGTGATTTTGGACTTCAGGCCCAGTTCACACGGAAGGGACAAAGGTCCGCGCCTCGTCTCTCTCAGACGTCCACTTTTGCCGTCATTCAGTCAACCAATCAGAAGCTACCGCGCGTACAGTGGGAAATTCAAACCAGCAGATGAACAAGGCCGGTTCTGGTGCATTATAATGACGCGCGTCGTTGATAAGTGTTTCAAAGAGAGACTTTCGTGAGTGGAGGAGAGAAATGTGTGATGTAATCAATGCAGAGAGGGATGGAACGAGTATCGGAGAGATTCAAAGAGCGTGGACCCCCTTGGGACTCCGCCTCATCCCTCGGGCCCCCTTGTAACATACCAGTCACGTTGTCATCTGCAGCTGAGTGAAATTTAATATAAAAAGTTTATCAGTATGAGAATCGAGCCCAGGTCGTCGGCGTGGTGGACGTTATATTTAGCCTCGACACCAACGTGGAATATTGAAAGTAATTGCGAATTGTTGATATTTATAGCGGTTGTTTCGTCGGGACCGAAATTGAGTCATTCTCTATACTTGACCGTTTTTTTTTATTTTCGTAGAATTTTTGGGAAATTGTGACGTAATTTACATGTAGGAGGTAGGGAAATATTCTTAGATTTGGGGAAGAATTGATGTTTCATAAAAAAGTGTGTGTCTGTGTGTAAGAGTGCGAGAGACACGTGTGATGTAGTCGTCCCCACTCACTAACGTCTCTCTTTCTGAAACACCCACGACGAGACACGTGTAACCTTGAAGTGTACAAGAACCGGCCACCCACGACGAGACACGTGTAACCTTGAAGTGTACCAGAACCGGCCTTGTTCATCTACTGGTTTGAATTTCCCGCTGTACGCGCGGTAGCTTCTGATTGGTTGACTGGTTTACTTATATGTGTTGTTTCGTGACTTATCCCATAACTTGTAAAAGTTCTTTTGAATGGACCAATAAAATATATCTATCTATATCTATCTATCTTCGTTCAATAGTTTCATACATTCTTAATTTGTTGGATTTGATATTGCCAGCAAAGTGAAATCATGGAAAAACTGAAATTTTGCCTTCGAAACCATTCTGTTCGTACAACACTGTCTCGGTAACTGTTTTTTCACGTACCTATATGTTTCGATTCGTTGAATGCCTCCGGTATCTTTCTCGTCAGAACGGCGTACACCGTACATATGACTATGAGAAAAATGGGGTAGGTGAAAGCTATCATATATGATGCATCGATGTAGGACGAGCATACGAGCAGATTATCTTCCCTGGTGGGATAATGGTGGATCGCTCTGGGAGGTGAGATAATCATCCAGATGCCGTTGATCAGTACCTGAAAGAAAATGAACTGCTTGTGATGGATCGATGATACAGTTATTTGGTTTGAAAAACATAATATTTGAGAGGGTTTTTGATGCAAAATACAGATAACGAAGAAATTAATTGATATTTCAGATCGTGTGTATTATACCAAAAAATATCACATAGAATGTTTGTTTTCATTACTGTTCATCACATTTCCTCAGGATTTCAATAAAGAATTGGTTTTAACTCTTTTGCACAATGAACTAGTAGAGTCTGAATGTTATTTTAGTAACAGATGAATATTTATTGTAATCTTCATTTCCTTATTCAGAGAAAATATACAAAGTGAAGAGTTGGTAGAGATGGAAAAACGAAATTTTCGCAATTACATGTATAAAAATAAATCTATGAATTGATGGATGCAGCCGTTAGTACGTGGTAGAAAATCATAATGTAACTAACTGACACTAACACTAACTAACACTAACAATAAACTTATTGTATAAGTTTGAAAATGTTCGTATAGGACGAAACTGCACTAACGTTAGTTACAAATAAAAGTGGTAAAGAACATAGAAAGTTTCATTTCTCTTTTCTTCACAAATAAATCTACTTCTTCATGCATTTACAACTCATTCACCCTCACAGGGGTGGTACCAGGGGTTGCACCCCAAAATCTTTAATTGAATCATCCATCAATACGTAGCTCTTTTTTAAGACTTTGAAAAAATAAATATCGCAGGGGGTCAAATCTGGTGAATATGGTGGATGAGGAATTATTACGGTATTGTTTTTGGCCAACTGTAAAACTGTGTAGTGAAAATCTCACAATGAAGTGTTTTTTGAATACGGTAATTATAGATTTTCATCAAGTATCGGCCAATCCCGTCATACATATTACTTTAATAACAGGAGAATATTTACTTGAATCTTTATTTCCTTATTCAGAGACAATATATCGAGTGTCTGAAGGTGGTAGAGATGGAAAAACGAAATTTTGGCAATTACATCTATACAAATAAATCTACTTCTTCACGCATTTAAAACTCATTCACCCTCACAGGGGTGGTACCAGGGCTGCACCCCAAAATCTTTAATTGAATCCTACATCAATACGTAGCTCATTTTGCAGACTTTGGAAAAATAAACATCGCAGGGGGTAAAATCTGGTGAATATGGTGGCTGAGGAATTATCACGATATTGTTTTTGGCCAACTGTAAAACTGTGTAGTGAAAATCTCACAATAAAGTGTTTTTTAATACGTTAATTATAGATTTTCATCAAGTATCGGCCAATCCCGTCATACATATTACTTTAATAACAGGGGAATATTTACTTCAATCTTTATTTCCTTATTCAGAGACAATATATCGAGTGTCTGAAGGTGGTAGAGATGGAAAAACGAAATTTTGGCAATCACATGTATACAAATGAATCTACTTCTTCACACATTTACAACTCATTCACCCTAACAGGGGTGGTACCAGGGGTTGCACCCCAAAATCTTTAATTGAATCCTACATCAATACGTAGCTCATTTTGCAGACTTTGGAAAAATAAATATCGCTGGGGGTCAAATCTGGTGAATATGGTGGCTGAGGCATTATTACGGTGTTGTTTTTGGCCAAAAAATTACGAACAAGCTATGACGAGTGAGCAGGTTCATTATGGTGATGCAAAAGCCATGAACTGTTTTCCCGCAATAACGAAAGTTTTTTTCATATTGCTTCTCGTAAGCGACGGATACTTTTAGGATAATATCCATTATTGACCGAATGACCATGTGGCAAGAACTCCTGATGTATTATGCCACGGTGAACGTAGCATTTGACATTTGATCGAAATCGACCTGCTTTCTTGCTCTTGGCTCTCTTGGGCTTTTCCATTGGGACGACTGGACTTTGGTTTCTATGTCCTAACCATATACCAATGTTACCAGTTAGGACCCTTATGAGCAAATCTGGATTGCCGTTGACCTCATTCAACAATTCTTGCGACGGTTTTTTTACACGAATACACGAATAGACAATACATAGTAGCATTTAAGTAGTCCAGACTTCTATTGTCTAATATTATATGAATTGATTTGAAATCCCTGAAAGAATCTGTGAAAAATTAAAAAGATCAGCTGAAAAATAACAATTATATTAGGCAAAAATACTGAAATTACAATGAAATTAAATGACACCGCACCACAGTAAGCCACCGCACCACAGTAAGCCCCCTCACTTTTATGGATTACCCAAAATCCACAAGAAGAATGGTCCGCTCAGACCGATTATTAGCTCCAGAGATTTGGTCACTCAGAACTTGTTCGGATTTTTACTACCAATAATTGAACCACTGCAAGGAAAAACATCATCTTTTGTGAAAAACTCAAGGCATTTTGTTGAACTACTAGGGGTAATCGAAGTCAAAGAGAGCGGACAAACTGATCAGTTTCGACGTGGAAAGTTTCTATACCAACGTCCCTGTCGAAGAAGCACTTCAAATCATACAGAGGAAGCTATTGGAAGATGGGGACCTGAAAATCGGAGAATTGGTGAAGAACTTGAGAATTCTTTTTCCCTCCCTCTCGCTCTCATCGTCTTCTAACGAATACACATCTTGTGGGCGCGACCATAACGGAATTCAGAAAGCTCTTCATACATTTGACAAGCTGTAGCTAAAAGTGAAAAAAATTCTTCTAAAAAGTCTCATAAACAGTTATAACTTGTTCAGACTTGACTTGTTTCTTCAGGCTGAACGGTAACCCGGTATTCTGAAATTAAAAATGATATAAAGATAATGTTTTAGATAATTACATAGCAGTTATTCAGGAAAATTAATATCGCCCATGTTTTCATAAGTTTGAAGATGAACAACTTTTAGTTTGCGAAGTTTCGGTAAATATGGGTCTGAATTTTATTTCTTAGTGTAGGTAATTAAAAACTGACTGATAAGCGGGTAAAGTTTTCATGAAAATCAGTGAATTAGCTGTAAACTTTGATTATGGCGTCGGAAACTTTTGTTATTTGGTAGTGACGGATAAGTTATATTGGATGTGATACAAAGGAACGGTATAATATGCATTTGGGAAAATTTAGAGGATGGAGATAATATAGTGAAATTGATAAACATCTGGAAAAGTTGCCAAATCATGGAAGTATGAGTATTTCATTATAATTTGAAATTTTGTGCTATTTCCGAGTGAAACATCATTCTTGAAATGAGATTATACAGCACCCATTTTATGTAATACATACAATTGGTTCAACACAACAATACACATATACGAGATGACATTTCTATATAGCTTCCTCTTCCTCTCCTCCAACGTTTGCGATTAATCTTGTTTGGGCACTCAGTACATATAAGGGAAATCGCAATATAAACATGAGTTTATTTGAAGACGTATTACCCTGGTTTAACAGGCTACATTGTTTGCATGACGTTTAATGAACATTTTCTGCACGTTCAAATCTTTTATATTACAGAAAATCTCTGGTAAAATGCTCCAACTGTCAATTAAGTATTGCCTTTTGCCCTCACACATATAATCATTTCGGGCTGTATTCTCCAGCAGTACAAAAGTAAATAGCCTCAGTTATCTCTGTTCCATAAATCTGCCAAATTCCAAAACTGAAAGAGGTGAAATACTGTTCAAGCTTTGGCTTAAACAGTATTTTTTTTGACAACAAGCAATGCTTTATTAACATACGAAATTCCCTTTTACCCATTTTCTTTAAAATGTTGCTTCACTCAAAATTTCCTTTCCCACAAACTAATAGCCGGAAAACTGTAAAATTTGTACACGTGTCTTGAAGGTTAGGGTTAACTAAAAATCATATAGATTTAATACTACTAGCGCCATCTATGTGTTATCCTACAAAGTTTTTTTGTCCGTATTACTTCTAGCATAGTTAAGATATTCGTTGATCTCAGGTCTGACAAATTTTGATGGTTTGAAGACCTTCCACTTTTGAGATTGGAGTTATTCTTGCATGCTTTCAAGATACAGTGAATTTTGATGGTAGAACAAGTGGAAAACACATTTTCTAACAGCCATCTGAACTTGAAGAAACTTATCTTTGATTTTTTCAGAGTCTATTACAGTTGTCTCTCTCTCCCCTTACAAATACGCCATCTATGGGATCGGCAGAGAACTAATACTCGAATGACAAAGGTGGTTAGTTGCGTTCTCTGTCGATCCCATAGATGGCGTTTTCTTAAGAGGGAGATGTCGATTTTTGTTTCTCAGGCATGTCCTTTAAGGACAGTTGAGTCCAGTAACGCATTTGTGGTTCAGTCTTATACTACTGATGAGACCTATCGCGAGTTGAAACAGCAATGGCTGGTGTTGAGTTATGAATGTGTTGTGTTTGGGCTCTGGTTTTCAACTCTGCCCTTATTATTGGTTTCATTAACATCTTTTTTAGGGAATCTACAAGGGCGAGGAAGCATGTAAATGGTATGAAATTCTCAAGACTATATAATGAATGGGAACAAATGAACACAGTTCCAATAAATGTAAATTTGAATTCCATATTTACCTGGACTCCAACCAATCCGAAACAAATAACAAGCTGAGAGCGAGGGGATATGAAGTTGGGCCTCTTGGCTGAGTGTTTTCCCGCATTGAAAATCCGAGAAATGCGGTTGGTTTTTGTTAATAATGCAGCGTACACGACGGTGAAGCAGAATCCTGCTCCGAATCTGAAACAAAGTAAAGAATATTTGAAATGCTCCGGAGCGTTTACATGAGTGAAGTACAAAGAGTTGCCATGATTGCGGTTTCATCAATACAAGAAACGCTTGGGCTGAATTACCTGCTCGGATTTTGATTCTGAACGTAACTAGCTTTGACAAAATGCACTTGGATTGATGAAAGGGAATATACATGAATGTGGATTTTAATACTGAACACTAGATCCATTGAAATGCCCTTTGAGTGATGAAGAGGAATTTACATGTACCTCATAATAAAACTTGATTATGTTAGACTGTTTAAAAAAATCTGTTTTTCCGTTAATCAGCTGTCGCCCCCATACGAACGACAACTCTCAGAAGTTGAGAAACTTGTGCAAGCTCATGATTAACGAGGTGATTTCCTACCTACTAAGTAGGATAACGATTAGTATCAATGATAAGAATGTAGTCATCTTTCAATTGTATCAGGGTGTTTATTGAACGAAAAGTAGTTTTTTAGAAAGAAATGTTTTGGCTTTCTACTTTTCCATTTTGATGCATAAAATGTGGCATGCATGATCCATAAAATGTGGATCATGCAAAGAAGTAACTTTCAGACACAGAGTGGAAAAAAAAAGCTTCTCAAAACAACTACTTTTATAAGACCAAAAAACCAAAGAAGACCCAGGATGTGGAGTTCACTCCAGATCACCAAGCTTAAGGATTGAGTGGGGAATGGAAAAATTATCAGCGTGGTTCAAACAGAACTAGCTGGTATCTCAATCGCTACTAAAGAAATAACCAGGAAAGGAATTTCTGCCAAAAACATAACAATCTGCGCTGATAGTAGACCCATTAGCCTTGAACAGACGTGTTACCTCAGGACTAGTTCTAGAGTGCCACCAAGATTTAGCCACAGCCTCGGTAGATATAAAAACATTATCCTAAGGTGGGTTGAAGGGCAAGACAGGAGTGAAGGTAATCGTATTGCCGACTCTTTAGCCAAGGAAGCGGCTGGACTAAGAACCTACAGTGACACCTACGGCCTGACGACTTCGACAATTGCGGAACTAGCCAAACATCACACTCAAGCTCACTCCCAAAAGAGATTGGATGGAATCAAAGGATGCAGTCTTGTCAGGATCACCCTGGGCGATCCTGGAAAGCTGGCGCCGGAGAAATATCTGGCGATGACCAGGAAAAACCTATGCTTAACAGTAGGATTTCTGACTGGTCACTGTCAACTAAGGAAACACCTCCATAATATGGGGCTAGTGGATACACCTCCATGCAGGATGTATGAACAGGAAGATGAAACTGTCAGACATATCCTATGCGAGTGTCCGGAGTTATCGTCAATAAGGATATAAAGGAGATGTCTTCTAGTGACCTGTTTACCTTCCTGGAGAGGAGAGGATGGACGATGACCTAGGAGACAACTCCTCGGGAGGATGTGTGCTGTGCGACTACACTCACCCTCCCTACTCTACAGATACAGAAGGACATTGAATTATACATTGTTTATTTTTTCGTGAAGAGTTCATTTTGAAATTTACTGGTTTCTTTCTTTCTTTGGAAGATTTCCACATTTGTTGTATGAAGATAGAGAAGTAGATAGCCATGATATGAGTAGATTCAACTCATTCACCACATGAAGTCGTAATTTCATGAATGAATTGAGAATTTCATCTTGTAAGGCAAGTGTCTTATTCCTGAACATCAAGTGTCCGCCATTGAATAGTTATTGTGATAGACGTATATTTTGGCACACTTTTTTGGGAGTAACTGAGAGAAAATGACCAAATATAGTCTTCTTCTCTTTTTTTATGGCAGAAAATTAGGTTAGACTTAATTTATGATTTGTGACTTGTTTATTTCGTGGAAATTCATTTCGTTAAACTTAATTCATGCATAGTACAGAATAATAATATTAATAATACTATTTATTTCACTTGTTGAACAGTATGAAAGCATTACAATAAACATTTACATACCGTAACAAGGAAGACGTTCATGTATAAATAAAAACAAATATATATAAATATAAAACAACAAAACATGACAGATACTAAACTGTATATAAGGAGGTAATTAACAGTTTTTTTTTATCGAACGTAACTAACAAAACTCGTCAACGGTGTGGCAGTTTCTTTCGATAAGATATTTTTTCAATTGCCTTTTGAAAATGCAGATGTTCATTGAGTCCTTAATAGAAACATCTAGCTTGCTATACAGTTTGGGTCCAAGGTATAGGTGACTCTTCTGATAGAGGGAGGTTCGGTGAGGATTCGCTATCAACAGCCCTCTAGTTCTAGTATCGTATGGGTGGTCTTGATGTTTTGCGCTAAATTTTTCTTTATTCTTATGAACGTAGAGACACATCTCATATATATACAGACCAGCAACTGTGAGTATTTCCAGCTCTTTGAATGAGCTTCTACATGAGTGTCGCCATCCTAAACTAGCAATTATTCTGACAACGCGCTTTGGTAATATAAATACTCTTTCAGCCGAGGAGCTCATACCCCAATTCAAGATTCCATAGCGCAAGTGACAGCCAATAGTAGCATAGTACAGACTTAGGAGCACCTCTCTTCCACAATGATTCGACATAAATCTCAGTGCATAACAGTTCACATAGTGAATCTATATGATGACCCCAATTCAGCTTATGATCTAGAATTGGACCTATCATTTTTGTTTCTGGTTTGTATGTCACCTCTAGTTGGCTATCTTCATATATTTTGAGAGTTTCGGTGGTGTTCTGCATTGTGAATTTGACTAATGCTGTTTTGCTGATATTCAGTGCTAAATGATTGTTTTCAGCCCATTTCATTATTTTCTCATATATGGATTCTGTTGATTCTGCAAGTGCTAATGTATTACAATCAGTGA